ATGGGAAATAGAAATATGGAGAGGTTAAATAACTTGCCCAAAGGTGGAAGGCTGCATGTAACAGAGATAAAACGAAAATGTTTTTTTACCTACCCCATATGTTTGTCAGAATTTCTCATCTCTCACATCTAATGAATTTAATAGTGTCTTTTAAAAGAATATCTTTGTCATAATCTTCCTACTTCCCAGGTCAGACCTAGGATCCCAGAGTGGATTATTGTTTGACACTGAGTTTATTGGCACATTAACTGCACATAATAATGTATTGCTCACCAGTAGATATTTTCTATCTGGGATATTATTGTCTTCCTGAACAGTTTTAAAGGGTTATCTAGAGCTTTGCTTCTGTGCCAGACACACCCAAAATCTGGACTCAAGGGAATATGCAGCAAAAACCGCCTTAATCCAGTTGCAATTTCTTTTGCATTGCAGTTTGACTGGAAACAATGCCAGTCTATGTGCAAGCTGGATCTCTGCTAGCATGAAATAGTGCAAAGATTGTACCTTAAGGTACTCGGAGAACAGTTAGAAGGACTATGTTTGTTCTCTGATTGCCTTGCCATTGTGTTACAGTAGGTAAATGCTATTTCTGCTCCCTCTCGAGGTCTGCAAGGGAGACTTCTGGACTGGGGTTTCACTGTGGGACACAGACTGAATTGGTGATTTTCTCCAGGCAGGGGTTCCTTCCCAGTGAAAGCTGTCCCTCTGATAACAGACCAGTCCCTTTCCCACAACAGAACCTGAAAGGTGAATGCAGAATTCTCACTTCAGCAACCCAGGTTTCTTTCTTAATGGCTTACAGACAAAAAGCCTTGGGAGGATGCTGTTTTATTGCTTACATTCCAGCATTTTCCACAAAATATCTACATAGTTAATAACATTTTCAAAAATACACTGAATTTTCTTTTACTAAGGCAGTATAAAGCTTGTAGCAGGGAGCCAAATTGCTAGTGAGGAAATGCACATTAAATGAACATTTCAATGTTATTAAAAATAATGTGCAGCCTTTGAAAAATGCAGGCCTAATATGATTTTGGAAAACAAATGAGGAGCTCCAATAAGTTTACAGCCACTGAATGCCTCCAAGTAATGGTTGTTGCTGACATTTTCATGTTTTATTTTTAATTGCTGCAGCTAATAATCCTAATGAGGTAAGAATGGCAATGGCTTAGACATACCAGTGGCAATGGTGAAGAGGAGAGTGGGGAGTTGGCTGCAGTCCTGCTGGGCACCTGGCCTCCCTCATCTTTCCCAGAAAGTGACCTGAAGCACTCCAAGCCTCAGAGTTCCTCCTCTCTATGCAGCCACAGGGAACACAATGCAGTAGGGACCTTTGGGAGTGACAAACCAGCACCAAGAGAGGTAGCTGTGGAAAAGCCACCCTTGTTTGCCCCTGGGAGATGAGTGCTGCAGTTTGGCTCTGGTGCACCCAGTGTTAGGGCAGTGATGGGACTGTACCAAGAGGGAAAGCAGCTTCTTCTTTAATCCTTGGTGCAGAATTAACCCAAAGCAGATTGTTCTCATGAAAGGTAGCGCAGACGTGCTCTTTGATTTAGGGGGCCTGTGGCTGGATTTATTTGGTGTGTAAGTAATTAAAACCTCTAGACTTGCTGATTCAGCCCTAGTTATGACCCTGATTTGATCACTGTATTGTTCCATTCCTAATCCTTTAGTGAGGTTAGAGCAGGTTAATCTTGGTGAAATGTTTGCTTAATGCTACCCTCGCTCATTTGTTCTTTTAATAAAATCTGCATAAAGAATGGAGAAATAGTAATTCTTTCAGCTTGTTCCAATTACTTTGAGAGCAAATCTAATTCAGCTGAAGCAGCTTAAGAGAAACTTGATTGTGTTTCTACAGCTGAGGGTCTTTGCCAACAGAAGATGTGGCACCTTCTGTACTCCAGAGCAGTGTTGATATCTTCCTCTGGTTAAAACCTGGAATGCATTCATGTCTGGCGCTTGGATGTTGCATGGCTTTTTAGCTAGTCTTATGCCTTGCTGCTCACACCTGCCAAGCTCAGTGTTTCTGCCTCTTTTGCTTCTCTTTTGGACTGCTGTTATTCCCATGGCCCATTAGGAAAACAGAATAAATGGAATTGAGTGTATGGGTGTTTACTGTGTCCATCGTGAGAAGAAAAAGGCTTTTTCTGTTGATTCTGTCTCATCAGAAAGGAACTGTGTCTAAATGACACTTTGGTATGACTCCAATATGGTTATCCTTATGGTTTTCTTTGGTTGGCAGAGAGGCATCCCATTTTTACAGGCATGAGTGGTCACGAAATACAGGGATCTACATTTTGTGTGAATATTTATTTATATTGTGTGAATATAGAGGTGGTTAAGAAGGTGGCAGTGTCCCTCTGGTGTTCTTCACAGACCAGTTCAGCACTGGGAAAGCAGGACAGTGGTGTGGCAGAATTGCTTTCTGGTGACTGGTTTTACCACAGGATCTTTCACAGTGGACACATCTTTTGCACACAGAAGGAACACCAGCTGTCAACCTACATGGAAGCACAAGCCCAGCCTTGTCTCTTACCAGGTATGGATGCTAGGCAGGGGTTGACAGGTAGCAGAGTAAAGCTTTTTTCTCTTATGCTAGATGTTCAGCAAGTTAGGAGGAGGGAGTACACTTGGGTAGGAGGGGCATCTTTATCCTTCTGTGCCACAGAGCTTGCTCCATAGCAGCAGGCAGGGGTGAGGAACTGGAAAGGTAGAAGAAGAGACTATGGAAAGAGAAAGACAGCTAGGGGATCTGAAGTGATCTCAGATCAAAGGATTTCCTATCCAGGAAGCTCTAGCAATGTATCTGGGACATATTCCACTTTTCCTGAAAGTTTTCTCTTTAGCACTCACTTGGACTGCATGAGATGACCCCAACTGTAAGTGTATGGAGAAAGTCATGCATGGGCATCTCTCTCTGGAGTATAAATACTAAATGACATGATATCCATAAGGGATACACTTCTCAGAAGAGCATGATAGATGGATGTGTTGCCAAAGGGGTGGAAAGGAAGGGATGGAAAAGGTGAGAAAATGTATCAAAGGAAATAAAAGAATTTTAAATTCAACCTGAACAGGGGGTATTTGTATGGACTGCAGCCCATGGCTGTCAAAGTGAGCACTTGGCACATGGCAGAATGGATCTCTGAGCAGAGAGAGAACTAGAATCATTCTTGCTCTCTGCTACATGAGGTCTTTCAGTAGAAAGTAAAGCTGCTTTAGTTTTGTGATACCTTGAGGGGCCAAATTCAATTTGAGCATTATTACAGTGTTGGGGCAACTCAGCCAGAGGAGTTCCTTTTTTTGATTTTTTGCCAGTCATGCTTCCAAACCTCACCAGAGCTGAAGCTGCAGTGCCTCAGCTTGTGCTGGCTTCATTGCACTGGGTGGGGATTTACACTGGTACCTCAGAGAGATGCTGACACGTGGGTAAGACTGTTCTTTGGCTGGAAGAAGAGGCCTGGCTGAGGTGTACTAACAAAGTAATAAAAGACTCAAAATAGTCAAGGTGATGGGAAGAAAAGATGCAAAGAAGCATGACAGTCTCTGGCTTTTGAACAACAGGGAGCTCCTGCCACAGTGAGAAGAAAACAATACCATATTGGCTGCAGAACTTTGCTGCCAGGAATGCTGCTTTACGGACCATGGGAGAAATCTCTCAATCGTGCTCTGACTTCTGCCCTTGTTTGGCGAGCCAAGTCTCAAGTCCCTTCCTTGCTTTTTACTTACATCATGCCCTAAAGCATTACAGAAAAGTGAAAAAAAAATTTAGCATTTAGAAGAGAGGACAGAATGGTATTAAATGGGATTTCATTTTGGGGGGCAAGGAATGACTCTCCTCCAGCCCTGTGGATAGTGAATGCACTTAACGGGAAAGCAGGAGAAAGTACATATAATTGAGTCCTTCCCTAAATAGAGAAGTCTATTTGTGACATACCCCACTCTACACACCCATCTCAACCCCTTTTTACTCTTTATACCTTCCTCACCTCCACAGAAACACAAAGACAACTGAAATGAGCATCGTCGGAACGACCTCCAAAGTGTGGTTTGATTTCAGCACTAAATCTTCCCTCGATTGTTCACAGTGACACTGTATTGCCAATAGATTATAGGGTTGCAGCTATTTTCCATGCAGGAGAACACACAAAAGGAACCCCTGCCAGCCATAGCGGTGCTCTCAATCAAGTAAAAACCCTTTAGCTTCCTGTTGCAGAGCTTTCTCTAGGATTCATGTATATTTTATCAAAGTTACATGCAGTTCTGATACTTGTTTCTAAAGTGCTTTAGTATGAATCCCAAGATGTACTGAAATGCTGCAGTGGTACTTTTTAAAAAAATCAAGGTTAGAGTAGAGAAAAAATAAAATAGCTTGACTCTACAGCATGCAATAAAAGCAAATTCTGCTCAACAGACTTCTATTGATATAAATAAGCAGAAGAAACACAAACATACATCTATATGAAATCATTTCAGTCCTTGTAATTGTACCCTGGGAGCAGCAGGAACATAGAGGAGCTCCACAGTTTCACCTCTCATAATGAAGGTCCTGCAATGATCTAAAGCTATTTTTTTGCCAGAAGTGCTTTTACAAGCCAACACACAAGTCAGCACAGAAGAGCTATAACCTCAGTGGTAACCAATTACTCTGAAGATAGTTAATAACAATCTGGAGTAAGGGGGAAAAAAAGAATGTATTTACCAATAGGGATTTTTTTTAAATAATTTATTTTTTCAGCTAAGCTGTGAGAAAAAGAATTGCAACGATCTTTTCAGAAGAAAAGGGTCTGTTATTTCTAAGCAGCATTTCATGACTCCTTTGTCTTTCAGGCATTTGCAAACCTTAGACCTAGAAGGATGGAGATAAAATATGTTCTGGCTACAGTATAATAAGGCATTTAGGTTGAAGTCAGCAAGAGCCAACATAGCAGAGAGGTGATTTTAAAAAAAAAAAAAAAGAAAAAAATTCATTTTGTATGTAATAAAGCTTTAGTACTTACAGCTGTCCTCTTCTTCAGTAATACATTTCACAACATAACAGGCATAGATGAAGCCTGCCAGCTGAAACAAAATGTTACAGTGTTAGATGCAAGACAAATACAGTAGAAAAACAAGAGATGGCTTTAGAAAAGCAACAACAGGATCAGAAATAACAAAATTCACCAGACCGTCTTTGATGAGGTAAAGATAATTCACCACAACAGTTTAGTAATTGTAATTGGATATAGTCAGGGAAATTTTACATCTTTCTTGAAAAATGCATCCTTCAATAAAACATCCAAAAATTCATCCAACTTTTTCTGATACCTAACTGACATTATTTTATCTATTTAAAACTAGAAAAGCAAATGGGTGGTCAGATGGATGGGCTTTTAGCCACTGAAAATGTAAATATTTCTGTCAAAATCAGATTTGTTGTCCAACAAAACCTGGCCCTTTAGCAAAACGTTTTTTTCACCAGAACCTTGCCAGCTAGGCCAAGGACAATTCAGTGCACTTGTAAACCAGCTTTATAGTTAGTTATATTTTATCATATGAAATTGGAGTTGTGAGTTAGTGGGACTTGTTCCCATATCTGCAACAGTCCCCAAGATATATCTAGCACTTTGGACAGGTCTGGATATGTTTACATCAGCATCTCACTGCAGCTGGTAAATTTGTATCTTGTTTCTTTCAATCCCAGAGTTGCAGAGTATGCTCAGAATTGAATTGTAAATAGAAGCAATGGGATTTAAAGAAAATGAAAATCTGGAGTGATTATTGAAGAACCACCCGAAAAAACCCATAATAAAAAAGGAATAAATGCCCAATATCACACCTGCAACAGGCCAAGTATCATGTGAGCCCTCTGCTAGTCCCTCCAACAAGTTCTGCCATTGCTAAGATGTTACACCAGAAGCAACAGAACAAATACTGGAGCAGCAACACGTGCCACATGTTGTATGCTTTATACAACTTCCTTTATATGTAGGTCTGGAGAGTTTTCTCTACTGAATCACATTAAACAATTTTTCATCTTTTTGCTTGTTGCTGAAGTTTGCATGGTAGGACGTCAAAAGAATTCTTGTTGTTTGATCTCTTAGTAGTGAAAAGTGAGCCATGCTGTCGAAATGTGTTACTCTGCACAGGTCACCTCACACAGATATTTTCATGAGTTGCAGACCCATCTGTAGGATTTGGGAATTAGTTCCTTATACAGATAATAAAAATGCCTAAGGGCTCCAGCCAGGACTGAGCTCTCTTTGCGCATGGTGTGAAACACATAATCTTCGGCTGAGGGAGATGATGATCTTAATTTCAGATAGAGTAATCACTGAGTCAGACAGTAGAAAAAGTAAAATCTGAGAGACAATGTATTATGAATGCTGGTTAGTGAAAATGGATTTTTTTTCCTTCATTCAAGGCACATGTACAATCACTGCAATACTGTGGGTTCTTAGAGCCCTTAATATTACCCATATACAAATGAAATGCAAAACATGTCCCTTCTATTTCCTAGTGCCTTCATACCTGAGGCAGTGACTATGCCTGGTTTGCTCCAGCTCTTACACAGGTATTCCTGGCATTTATGTAGTTTTCTATGTAGAAAGCTCCCCATACCCACAAATGCTAGCTTCTAACATCTGTATGGGTGAGAGGTGACTAAAAGGCAAAACAAAAAAGGTCAGCCCCAAGGCTTTTCTGAAGAGTTCAAGACTTGATTTGGAGATCACACCATAGCTAGCAGAGATGTTGTCTGGTAACTGCTTCAGTTCCTTTTGGGAGCCCACAAGCTGCATTACAGCAGAACTAAACCATTAATTTTGTCATTTATTATAAATCTGCCTTATAGTGCTGCTGGGAAGATTTTACACCTGGGAAGGATGAAATATTCACTGCTGGACACAAAGAACGCACTGTACCAAGAACAGTGGCATTCAGCTAATATCAGCATTTCATCTCTGTTTTATTGGATCACTCTTCCCTTTTCTTTCTTGGCTTCAAGACAGAGGGCTAATTTGCTCCACTGACTTATACCCTGCATAACCCCATTGACTTCAATGACATTACATGAGGTTTAATTCAGCAATGAATTAGGCCCAGAAAGGTTGTTCATAAATGATTCCATTCTTGGATGTGAACCTTGGCTTAATAGTTTCTCTGTTCTCTTTTTACAGACCATCAGATCCAAGATAGCTGCATAGTTGCATCTCTAGTAGGCTGCCATGGTAATGCTTTTCTTGCAATACAGTTCAGTACTTTACTATCTTCTAAACCACCACAAGTTCAGGTGTTATTAATTGAACCTCTCTCACAAAGCACAGCAAAAAAACTGTATCGTGAATGGTGTTTACAACTCATCTTTTAATTGTATTCAGTTACATTCCTTAAATCACTAGGGAACTCCTTTGATATATTAGCAGCCCTACAGCACTTCATCAGATGAGCTTGCTGATTAAAAGAGTGCCTTAAAGCTCAAATTGTTCTGATCTAAGTACAAATGGAAGGTTTTTTTCCCATGCAATAATCAGAGTTCATAGAATAAACCTCTTCTTCTCCCACATTTATCCAAGCCTTTCCTTGGTAAATATAATTTTGTTTTAATTTGAATCTCACACTGTTTTTTTATTTCTTTTTATTTTTTTTACTTTAACCAAGCAATTTATCTGTTTTTATCTAGTGGCAACCATTCAAGATTTATCTTCTAATTGCAGCGGCAGCAGTGGGCACACTGTGAGCTGAGGTTCAGAACCAAAAGTGGCAGCTTTTACTTTGAGGATGCTCAGTGACCTGAGCCCATGGTGACTACAGAGATCTCTGGGATAGAGGTCAGGAACATACTTCCTCCCCCATGGACTAGGACTTGCCATAGGAAGAGTACAACTCATCTATGCATGTAGCGGAGATTTCTTCGGGACCAGCCAACTAAAATGGTCAATGAATTCCCACAAAATTGACCACCTTTTTTTATAGTGCAAGATGCACTTCTTTGACCTCGTTTCTCTAAAACAAGCATCACACAATGCACCTATGTACAGAAAAAAAAATTCCAAACAAACCACTGAACACACTCCTCACCATAGAGAAGAAGATGAGAGAAAAAACCCAAACCAAACATGAATGGTAGAGGCTATACACATCACTTAGTATATTCCCTCAAACACAGCAGTTCTCAGTGCAGTTTGAGAATTACAGAGAGCAGATTTTTCCTGATTTTCCTGATTCAGTATCTCTGAAAGACTTTTGTCTTACGTGAGAAGGAAGGGAATGAGTCCTCAGAGATGAAGAAGAGAAGGAGTCTGACTGTCTCAGAAAATCAGTTTAAAATTAGGAAAGTTAACTTGAAAAATCTTGTTGCTTTGCATCCCTCCCTATTTTTTTTCCTAATTAACCAAGCTTCCTTTTTTTTTTTTTTTTTATAAAGCATGAAATGATAAAAAGAAACGGGTGCAATAAACAGAAAATCAGTTCTGGATCCAAAACCCATTAAGATTAGGTGTCTACATCTGTCCCATTCATATTTTAATGCTGTGGTATAGGCTTCTAGAGGAGAAGGAACCATTAACAACACTCCTGTGTGTTTATACATATAATGATTAGTGAATGCATGTTTTTATGAACCTTATTGTCTGCAGCATGCAAAAATCTACTCTTTACAACTTTCCCTGATATATCTGTATGAGAGCATAAGTGAATACTGCTCTTTCTAGAAGTGTCACATTGCCAATGCCTGCACCAGTTCCCTGAGTGTTACTGTGATGGCATCTAATGACTTTAATTTTATATACTATGATCTCAAACACATTATTATTATTTTTTTAAAAAATCTATAAACATGTTGATTAAACCATCATCCCTTCTGCCAAAAAAAAAAAGGAAGACAAACAAAAGTGTAAAATAAATCAGCAAAAAAACAGTACTACTGAAAGCTTTGGTAATAAGATTAATTGCAGAATGATATAATTGCCTTATCACTCAAACAAAAAAGTAGGTGGATATTCCCCACCCAAGTCAGCAATGTCCCATTACACTGCTAAAAACTCTTAGTGGATCCTGAGTTTTCTGTGAGTGCACTTCCAGACTTGCTCAAAATGTCAAGTGCTGTGATGAAACTTAAACAGAATCAGTATTGAACAAAATCCTGTCTTGTTATTTTTTAATCAGTTCTTTTATGAAGATGAATGCTTTTATACACTGAAAATAACACTAGGTTTGGGAAAAAGGCTATTATATAAAACACCATCATTCCTGGTCAAGGCCCTCACATTTCCCTCTTTTAAAGCAATATCTATCTAGATAATTATTACAAATTATCTTTATTAAGCAGGACACCTGAAACAAAAGAGTGACAGCAAGGAGGAAACAAAAACTAAAAGTGGGCAAGATTGGATGGGATAAGGTGATGAGGAGGCTTGAGATGAAGATTAATAAACTAATGGTTATGGAAATAATGCATAGTCTTGGCTTCACTGAATGAATATCCTATAACTGTAATTGGTCAGGAGAAATGGACCTTAGACTTAAAAAACAAAAACCCATTATGTGTTCCTGTGGAAAACGTCACGGTATGTTCTGAAACAGCTGAGGCTTGTATATTTGCTTTTCATGATTAAGTTTTTGCAGGATTCTATAAACACTCTGGTCTTAAGACCTTAGCCAAAAATGGGCTAGTTCAAGCAGTAATAATGCAGAAATACATGGAGGCTAATTCTGGCTCTGGGAAGATTATATTGCAAAGCTGTGATGCTACTTGTCTACCCATGTGCAAAATAATTGTATTTCTTAAGCTTACTGGGGGTTGCACATATAAAGCCTTTATAATTCTGTGCATTTCAGGAAGAGTGTCTCTTTAAAATGGATTTTCTGAGTGTGTATTTATATATATATATATACACACAAACACACATTATGAGCAGCTGAAGAACTGGAGAATTACTATATAGAAAGCTTCCAGTGTATTGATTCTCAGAAGAATCATACTCATTATTTAGCAGGAAAGGTGAGGCAGAGACCTTTCTCTCGATATCTGTAGATTTAAGTTGGTGTCATGGGGGTTCTAAAGCTGCCCCCTGCAAAAACCC